CCCCTTTGTAATCGTTCTGTGAACAACAACAAAAAGACCAATTTTTTTTAAAACGTTTTTCAACAAAGAAATTTTCCTTCTTTTCTTTTTTTCCTCTTCATAAATTACATTTCGGTTAGTTGGAAGAAGAAGAAGAAAAAAAAGAAGCAAAAACAAAACAAAAGAGCAAAAAAGAAACTGCGAAAGAAAATGGAGGCGAAAAAAAAAAAAGAAAAACCTTTATCGAAAATCTATAATAAGCAACAATCAAACACAACGATTCCCAAGACTGCAATAATATCTTTTCTTTCTTTGTTTTCTTGCTGTTTTTTCTTCTCTTCAAAACTATTGTTTCTAGACATATCACCAAATACAAGAAAAAAATAAATGAAGAAGGAAAATAAAGAAAAAAAAGCTGAAAAAAAGAATGCAAAAAAAGTGTTATGAAGGAATATCCTAAGTTACAGTCAAGTACAATTGAACAGTTTAGAGGTCCTTTTGCCAATTAAGTTTTTTTTTTTAGAAAGCTCGTAAACCCAAATAAAAAAATGGTCTTCAAAATGTTTTATGCAAAATGAAGCCCAAGAAAAAGTATACATCACATAACCCGCTTCTTCAGTTTTTTACTCAACTGTTTTCCGGGTTATTCTTTGCCTTTTGGTTCATCGATGATAACGTTAACGATTCCAGAAAGATGGTAATGATGACGAAGAAGATCAAGATGGCAACTGGATAAGCAAGAGCACCAGAAGAAGCGGAAGGTAGTAAAGAATAGACGAGAGAAAGACTGGGAGGAAAGAAGAAGGAGGAGAAAAACGAAGGGAGGAGGAGAAGAAGGAGGAGAAAGAGGAGGAGCGGGGAGGCAGATTTACAATCAGTGAGCAGCTGCAGACAGATCAACACTGTATATACTATTTGTAAGATGCAGCAAAATTTGCTGCATTTCTCATCGTCTCGTTTATCGCTTATCTTTAAAATTTTTTTATCTTTTTGTACGGCTTAACAAAAATCCAATTAGAAAAAAAAAATAAAAAAAAAAAAAAA